AAAAGCAAAAGTAGGGCATCCATTAGCGTTGAAGTACCTGACCATTCGTTGGTACTTACCTCGGCGCGTTCAGTCATCTGGCAGTTTTCCCACCTGCGCAGGTTACTTACGTAAAGCTGTTGCAAAGTTACACGCGTGACGTACGCTACGCCAGCGTCGCTAATGAGTACATTTGCTTCATGGACATATGTGGACAGATTCATATACAAGGAACTTTGCCAAGGAACTTTGATATGTAAATAGCCAGACGAAAAGAAGAACAGACTTACAGTAAGGATATACTGGGGAAGGCTCGATAGATATATGTATATATATATATCGAACAAAATGCCTCTACACAGTACTATTTATATCGTTTATGAACTATGAAGTATGAACACGTAATAAATATAATTGCTCGATCGGGCAGTGAAGTCGCACGTAAATGTAAATAGCTAATAAGCTGTAAGAAAAGCTGTCTCTCTACTCTCTCCTACTGTGGTTGTGAGTAGCTATACAAATGCTCTCTTTTTTCTTTTTTTTCTTTTCGAAATCAACAGTTTTACAGCATATATGGCATATTTAGGGCCATGGCCCGTGGGCCAAAGGGGCTTAGCCGCTTAGGGTATATTTTTTAGAGCCTTCTAAAAATTGAACATTTTCTATATATTTTTTAATGTTTTTTCTTGTTTTTTCGTTTTCAAAAAATATAAATGTACTACATACAATCCTATTTACATAAATATGTATAAAAGTATTTACATGGACAGACGGAGGAGACCTAGGGGCTTTTTATAAATATACTATAAAGAGCCGAGGTTGACCAAGAGGTACATTAAAAATCAATTTCATTGACAGTTAGATGACTCGAACAATTCGTATTGATGAATGATAAACGTAAAATTATAATCATCTCGATCGGACGATTGGTTTAAAAAATATGAGAAATTCCAGTTTGTACCGGAACGGGGTCATGCAAACTAGCCACACGTAAGCATACGTATATTCAAACCCACCCATAACAAACAGACCATTCTCAGGCATTAAATATATATCCCTCAAACCGCTTTCTCTTAAAAGGTCTATGGAGGGTTAAATATATGTGCTCGTATAGCGAGTCTGGATGTGCATTTCGGATATCACATATTCTAACAAGTACCTTACATACCAGTGAGAATTGTAGCCGGAATACATGCTCCGACTTCAAGGTTCAGACTCGCTATACGCGTACAAATATCCCCCCATGGACCATAAAAGCACTATACTGTACTGCCAGAAAGGTCTTATAATAAGGTATGTATGGACTTGTATAATATATAATGCTTATTTACGGCTAGTTTGACCCAGTTCTGGTACAATCTGCCAACTGGAATCCTTCATAACTTTTGAACCAATAGACCGATCGGGATGAAATTAATACTTGCGGCTAGTTTGATCCAGTTCTGGTATAAACTGCCAACTGGAATCCTTCATAACTTTTCAAACAATAGTTCGATCGAGATGAGATTAGTATATTTTCGTTTATTTTCTAAGTGCCAGTAAGATTTAATTTTAAATATACCTCTGGGTCAACCACTCAACCTCTATAGAAAAAAACCCTATCTAACTAACTGCCAGTAAGATTGAATTTTAAATATACATACTTACCTCTGGGTCAACCTGTACCTGTCTCTTCCGTTTTGTACATACCACATATCGACAATAACAACATACTGTGCAAAATATTATTATTCATAAAATCTATATATATATATTTGTTTTTTTGTTTTTTTAAAAGTACACGCCCAGCAGCGAATTTTTTTGTCTTCATATCTACACATATGAGACTGACGTACGTAATCAATATACAAAATGCATGCACTACGGCGTATGCTACGTTGGCCTGCAGAGATAGGGAGAGAGTGTGTGTGTGTGCTTGAGTGGTTCATCGTATCGCCTTTGAGATTAGCTATAGTGTCATAGATATTTATGGTCAGACGCGTTAGGCTTGCTACGGTTACACAGCAAAACAAAAGTAATGTACTTTTCAAAATCGTTTATGTGGAATGCTCGTCGGGATTGGAAACACTCATCATATGATTCATAGTAAAAAATCGACAAGAATTGATCTCAGATTATTCCGATCGTCCATGCAAACCAGACACCACTCACCACTCCTAGAGCACACAACAGGCGATGTCAAACTTTTCCGAAAAAATATTCTCCTGTAGTACAGAATCGAGAACAGCCTGCCATGCTGTCGTGGCTCTTGCACTTTATAACAGTACACGCACTGACTGTTTTGTCATTGCGCGGTAGTATGTGAGCCTCTGGACGTGCAGCTTCACATGGACTCCAGGTATCGCTTCCGCTTTACAAAGGGATCCAGGTGTAGTTCTATGAGGGATCTAGGTGTATCTAGATATAGCTCCACGAGGGATCTAGACATAGCTCCATAAGGGATCTAGATATATATCTTGATATACCTCCACGAGGAATCCAGATATATCTAGATACATAAATCTCCACAGGGATTCTAGATACATATATGAATATCTTCAACAGAGATCTAGATATAGCTACATGAGTGATCGCTCTACAAGCGATCTAAATGTAGCTCTACAAGCGATCTAAATGTAGCTCTACAAGCGATCTAGATGTAGCTCCACAAGGGATCTAAGTGTAGTTCTAAAGTGGAGCTCTATAAATTATCTAGATATAGCTCCATAAAGGATCTAGATACGCATCCAACGGGATGCTTGTTTCATCGACTTCTCCGTACTGTTTCCCGACGGTATTATCATAGAAAGGCTTGTGTACCCTTCTCTATAGTACTGTTGCTCCTCTGCTGGTCGTGGCAGGACTCTGTCTCTGCGCTTAGCGCTAGTAGGTAAAGACCATGAGTGTACACCTCCCGTACCACCGGAGGAGGAGAGTTCAGCACTACTTCTGATCACCACATGACATTGGGCCGTCAAGGTGCTTGCATCGTACGGTGTCCACGTGTGCCCTATTCCTCACTGTCCCATTGTTCCGAGATCTAACCTGGCGTGTGTGCACACACAGAGAGAGGGCCGTGGCGACTACTCGACAGACGCGAGTGGGCGGAGATTTCTAATAAGACACTGGTAGCGTATCCACGGCTTCATTTTACGACATGCACCTACACCGCATTTCTTGTACCGGTCCCCTCAGCACTTGCACAGGTGCCATCTGTCACTCGGCCGTCAAGACCCACAACAGAGTCAGCGGCCCCTACAGTAGGTGTAATGGGCGCTTCCTCTATCGCACTCGCGCTGGGCAATCTGTCGACACAGAACTTGCCTAGCTTACCCCTTCGGTACAGACTAATAAACAAAGTAGCGGACGACAGGAGGTCCACCACATTCCCCTTTTGTATCCTACCGGCGTGTCTGCATAAGAGTGCGGAGACAATCAGCATCAGTAAATGTGGGATCGGGTGGTGGCAATGAGACGGAGTAGAATCATTGACGCCTGCATTGCAAGTACGAGCCATCTTCAATTGAGATGCCCGTATATCCTACATACACACCTTGGTCACCTGCACACTCATTCTGTGAACTGATAATCTGTATAGTCAAGCAAATCTAGTACACGAAACGAAGGTCAGCGCTGACACATTGGGTGGGTTTTCGGTAAGCGAACACACGCATCCCCTTAGCAAGTCATGCTGTGCTACAACAACAACAACCAGTGCTTGGCCTGTGCACATCACCCAACAGGGACAAGCCAATACCACACCGTGCGAGCGATAGAGATAAACCACGGTCTTTGTTTGGGTCTGCAACATAACAGGTGTTTTCACACAGCTTCGCTCATTACAGCACCTCCCTTGCAATCTCATACAGGCATCAGTACCTCACTCAGACCCGCACCGTTGCACTATCAGCCACTAGTCTATAGTCTCTACTACTACCCCTACCCCTTTTTTGAGTCGCCGTCGCTGATATACTCATCGAACTGGATCATAATGTATGCACAATAAGCGATCCCCGCGAGTTGCCATGGATACGAACACCTCACCTTCCGACATGCTCTAGGAACCTCAGGATGTCCTCTGACGGCACTGGCGCGGGTAGACCGAACTTCTGCACATAGGCCAGATGGTTACCTTCATTCAGACAGTGAAGGATGTACTCAGCTATTTGCATCTCACCCACCTGATGCAGCGGATTAAGACACACAAGGAAATGACTCTGTATGAGACAAGCAGGTGGGTGATCTCATCTGGATATGGTCGGGTAAGCTCTATGATTCGCCTCTCATCCACTCGCTCATGCAGGTAGGTCAATTGAACTGCTAACTGGCTTCAGTACAGCGCAGATGGCAAAGACTGAACACTGCGACGATGTATGTGTGGCTGTGGGAAAGAATGCTAACATCAACTACGAACTAGAGGTGAGAGGCTCTTGAATACACACAATAAACACTCATAGACAACGCCGGCGTCATCAGTCCCATTGCATTTGAGAATTGCGAGTGCGTGCTTAGCAAAGGAACCGAAATACAGTATGCTCCGTTTTAAAGGATGAAGGAACTTAAAGTTCTCTACTACTCGGGCGGGCGGTGTGCAGTACACAAGCGCGCTCAGAGAATTCGACCATTTGGCTCAGAGCACCATAGCTTCCTACTTGGTACTTATGCATGCAGCCATTGACACAACCTCCGCGAATACAGAGTGTATGTATGTGCATGTATATAATGCATTAACGGCAGAGGGAGGTTGACAATTGGCACAAACGCAGAATGTTTTTTCAACAAACAACAAATGCACACAGGCCGGTGAATGTCAACCCAGATTGACATTCAACGACTGAGTCTAAAGTTTGACAAATGTATACTTAGATGATGGACAGACACGTACCTCTATATTGATACAAACAACAGCAATTTGTGGTATCAAAAACCTATATCAGAATACCTAAACTGGACAGATATAAATATATT